CTACCAAAAGTAAATATTGAAAGTTCAAAATGTCACATTCCTTTTGAAGATGTTGATAACATGACAAAAGTAAAAGGCAAATGTTAACTTTTGCAAGCAAGACAGACCAATTATAGATATTACAGTGGTTAATAAGGTTGAAAAACAGATTATCACTCTCACTGGACAAGTGGCATTATTTAACCCCTCAAGATTTCCTGTTACAGTGCAAAATAGCATTTTTGTTTGGGTCTTGAACTTGCATGCAATCAATTACAACCATTTATGTGAATATGTGCAAAAATGGGCCTGAAATTCTTAAGCAACAACATCTACTCAGAATACTTCAGCTGAAATAAATGTCAATACGGAGCTGACAAACTGGACTGTGCAATTTCAACAATATTTCTAGTAAATGGTTTCAGGACTACTGAAAACGTAAATGGTTCTTGTCAGGTGGGTCTTATGATGTAAGGTGCACATCTGAGCAAGCAGTTAAAGACTGTGATATCTCATCTTTTTATCACCATTCTATAAACATAAAACCCCTTATTTCACAAAAAGCTACCTGAAAACAATGATAAATTCAATATTAAAATAATATTGCCATTTTTTCTGCATGTAATGCAATTCTCACCTAATAGATTCTTGCCCTTTATGTTTCTCAGCTTGTTTCATGACCATTCTCTCTAGAAAACATGAACGAGATTTCTGAAACTGTTATAGGAGCAAAATATTGAGGGGTCCCATCCCGACACTACGATTGATTCACCAAAGTGTTGCTCAAATTTTATGTATGTGAAACTCTGTTCTTTCAGTGAATTAAACAAGGGTAAAACTGGAAGAATACTGATGGACCAGGAACATTCTACATACTACTACATATATTACATATCTATATTGATCTATTTAAAGATATGTAAATATATTTAGTGGCACCCAGCATCATATTATCTAGTACCTCGTAGTTAAATTAGATTTGCATGATGAAATTTATTAGAGGACTTTATGATGAACCTTCTTCTTTTCTGCCTTCCTTGGTTAAAATGTGTTTATCCTAAGTAGGGAATATTTATTTTTAATTAATTAATTTATTTGTTTGTTGCTTCTTTCTTTTTCCTCTCTCCCATTAAGCTGGTTATGGTTGGGCAGCTTTTGAAAACAGGAAGCCTTTGCAGATTAAATTGGAAAAAAACCCTACCACTG